GAACAATTCCCCATTTTCAGGAGTTTCAACCGCTGCTGAAACATTGACACTGAAAGTGTCACAATCGACGGAATGGTGCACATTTGAGACACAATTGTGCGACAAAATCGCCAATTTCGGGTACAAACATCTGATTAACTACCCCGAACTCGCTCTCGCTTCAAATGCATTGATTTCCAAAATCCCACAAACAGTGTGAATTAACTCCTCCGGGAAGCGATCCAACTTACACGCCCCCCTGAGATAATCAACAATGTTGACTTGATTGAATTCCCATATGGGTTTGGTTTTGCGAATGTCATTGTGACATTCCATCGCTTCAATCTCCTCCTGCCAACGTTTCGGGTCTTTCTCCTTCGCTAAAAGCACCCTCAGGGGTGTTATACACTCGTATTGGAGACACACAAATCCGGAAATTGACACTCCTTTGCGATGCCTCCTGTGGCGACAGTTTGACAAAAATCTACTTGAAAATTTTCTACAGCTCGAAGCGCATTTGAATTTCAGGCGAGAGTCGCAAATCTGGCGCAGGAATCGCGTTAATATCGAGGATGTCCTTTTCAAGTTGAAAATACTCGATGAAAATGACTTGAGAGACGATGTGGTGCAGAAAATATGCGGAATTCTTGATATTAATACTTTTGATGTGCGACAACCGCAACGAAATAGGCTGGGGTTTAATCAGAGTGAAAACTTGAGAGGGTTGTATCTAAAGGCAGCTCTATGGCTCATGATTGTGTGGCAAATACGCATTTGGCGGTCGATGACGACTTTGTCTTGTATGTGCACGCCGCTGTTGATATCCCGGAAGGCAGCCCCATTTATTTTAATTACCCTGATGTTCTGCAGGTTGGTATTTCCACATGTGGCACATACAAATTTTTTTAGACCATATTGGGTGTTTTTTTAATAGGTACCGTGCGATCAAAAAATAAATAAATTAGAGTAGGTAGGCGGTGATTAAAGACCTTTAGATGGCAATCCTGATTTGTGACATCAAATGTCAGTGGAAATTTTGACAAGTTTGCGTTTTATTCCTTTTGATAGAAATAATGTTCACTTTAGAGCAAAAATTTTTTATTGCTGTACAAGACGAAAATGGTGAATGGTCATTTTCACTTTCAGCCAATGTGTTGCCAACTGTAGAATTTAATCGACGCCTACTCTAATTTATTTTTTTTTTTGATCGCACGGTATTATAAAAAATTGCAACTACATTTTCTACGAAAAATAACACTAATTTGTCAAATAAACCATGGTCCGTTACGGATATACATGGTAATAAAGTTTAATGACAAAAATTAAAATCCATTACTTGAGTTATTTTTATAAAATTTTACAGGCTTTGTGAGCCATTGAAAGCGCTTATTTTCTGGCAATTACTTCACTTTTACTTATTTTTTTATTAGTGTTATTTTTCGATGTAAGTAGAATAGATGGTTGCAGTTTTTCGCATTATCAAGAAACACCCTATATACAGGGTGATGGGAGGATAATCACCCTACATTTGAAAATATGAATACAATTTTTATTCAGTTCACATATTATTTTCCCTATTTTTTTAAAATGGTTTCCTGCAATCTAAATTTTTACTGTAATTTCTATAATTTTTTTCACAATTGTCATACAATAAACTAAATTTAGTAATATTTTTGTTGTAATTTCAGCTTTTTTCCTCTCTTCTTTAAGTTTATGTTTACCTCGGTCTTGCTTAATGCTATAAAACTAGATTCCGTTTTTAGTTTCGGTTGCGAACATTACAAAGAAATATTTGAATTTTTGTAAAATTTTTAAAATGCATACTTCTTTATTATATTTTTTTTTCGTTCCTAAAGGGAATGAAACCGTCTGTAAAGTAACCCAAAATAATCCGTAAAGTAGTATTTTTCCTGACTCATATGTCACTATAGTTAAAACTGGCCGTAAAGTTGGCAAAAAAATTACTTTTAAGGCCTTGTTACGCAAATAGCTAAAAACCTGTGAAAATATCTGTAATATGTACTTTTTTCAAATTTGAATAGGTACTAAATTAACTCGTTTGTTAATTGGCGTTTAATAAATTTGACATTTTCGCGTTTTATTCATATTTTACAAGTAGGTATACCTCTTAATCTAAAATTTTGAATTTGAGAAAGTTGTTCTTTGAAATCCACCCCTTTATTTCATTTTCATTCGATCAATTTAATATTTGTTGACAAATAATAAACATTAATTTATTAACATATTTTAAATCTGAATGAAATTTGTAATTCTGTTAAGCAATTATTAACTTTATTTTTTTTAAATTATAATTTTTCAGTCATTATTATTACTTTTTAATATAAACATTCATAAATCTCACATAATGATTTTTGTTTAGGTATTGGTTCGACCATATACCTACTACAATACGGAACGACAGAGTTTACTATCGACGTCGGCCTCTGAATGGTCGAACCATCGCAGTCTTGATAAATTAAAGATAAAGAAAAAGAAGAAGAATTTGACGCAACAATAACCATCACTACGCTGTAAATATCTGATTTGTGGTACCGTGCAATCCGTACTTGCTTCTCAACTATCGAACACACATCAACATTGAAGCATGCACTTTTACAGGTACAGTATATTTGTATAGGTATTTGATGTCTGCATATTTGACGTGATTGGATGAATTAAGAAATCTTGTAAGGTTTATGTGTTAAAATCCGTCTATTTTTGCTTAAATTTTATGGTTTTGACTTATCGAACTAGTTTATGAGGGATTTAATGAAGGTGGTTGTTAAGCTATTGTGACCAAAGCGATTAGTTGGTCATTGAAACAACCTCGAAGGAAACAAACTCCAAGCAAACCTTTACAATTCAGGGATTAGGGTTTCTTTATCGCTAAAAGCTCTATTGCACCATATAATTCAAGCAAATATAGACAGACTTTACCCATGATGTTTTTAAATAGGTCAATGGATTGGAAGGATTGAAAGGTTCCATCGACTGACCTGCAAGATCCCCGGACCTGATTCCACTGGAGTTCTTTTGTGGGATCATTTAAAGAATAAAATTGACGCTCACAACACAATTTTTTACAAGATTTAAAACAATTTTGTTAATATTTACTTAGACTCACAGTCACAGAAATTTTCTTGTATCTGTCAATTTAAGAACAGGTGTACGTATAAAAATCCTTATCTTTTACTTTGTAATCCCTACTTCTGATTTTAGATAAAATGGAAATGAAGAAAATTGCAGAAGTTTGCTAGTTTCAACGCAGACGAAACGCCGAAAAGGTGAAGTTAACGACGATTTTTCGATGGTGTAGTTATTAAAAGGGGTGATGAACAAGCGGATCTTGTCTGAAGACCTTGATGTTTTTTAAAGGAGTTTTTTAAAGGATTATGAAATCGAAACTTACGATGAAAAACATTGTTTTGAAACTTACTTCATAGCGTAGTATCAGTTATTTTTTTAGTCCTAACGATGAAACCACTCTGATCCTGCTGAGGACTCAACATTACCGTAAATGTTGGATTTACGTGACAATATTAGAGATGAATGTAACGATACATAATAAAAAAACTGAAATTTTAACTTTATACATACTTGCCAATTGCCAATGCCATTTGAAACTTCTTTCGCATACAGGGTGAATTATTAAAGTATGGAATTAAGCGTTTTTTTTTAATTATTTGCTTTCAGAAAATAATAATTATTAAAAATTAGAGTGTTATAAAACTTGTCATCGTGTTTTGAGTATGAAATTTTCTTTTGTTTTTGAGTTATGCGATATTCTTTTGTCAAAATGGCAATTTACCTATACATATACAGGGTATTTTAGAACTCGCGCTGCAGATAAAAATGTAAGGTAATGTTCTGGATCAAATAATCAAGTACACATTGGAATTACTGTTGTTAGTTACTTCAAGTTACAATTAATTTATATACAAGTCATAATTTGAAAATACAGAAGTTTTATAAAGAATTTCATATCCATTTATTAATACACCCTCTACAAACACTACAAATTGGCGCCGAGGATAAAAGAAATAAGAAGATTACATTAGTACATACAATTTCGAAGATATTTAAGAAAGGAAGATGCCTAGAGGAAATAAAGGAAATACTACAACTTCTACACAAGTCGATACACCATTCAAGGCAACTTTTAACATTGAACTGTTTACACCAACCATGAACTGGAAGAATTGGCTGAGAAAACTACAAGGAGATTTCAATTTATTTAAAGTGGCGAAAGCGGACTACACTCCAGGATTATTACATTATTTAGATCAAAATTCTTTTGAAATGGTATGTGACAAATGTTCACCCGAAGATCCATACGATAAGAGTTTTGAAGAACTTACGAAAATTTTACAAGAATTTTATGCCCCGAAACCACTGGAGATAGCTGAAAACTACAGATTTCATCAACGAAATCAATACGAAACGGAGACTTTACAAGATTACATTGTGGCTATTCAAAAATTAGCTATACACTGCAACTTTGGAACCTATCTACAAAGTGCACTTAGAAACAAATTTGTTTTTGGATTAAGAAGCAACAAAATTAGATGTCGACTATTAGAAATTGAGGAGTTGACTTTTGAAAAGGCAGTGAAAATCGCTATCAGCATGGAGCAGTCAGAAAAAGACGCCAACATGAATAAGTACGCTCATACACCGAACGAGGCAGTAAAGTTTTTTAAATCTGAAGAAAAAGAGGACAGTACCAAAGTTAAGTACCCAAGTAGAATACAAGAGACCTCTTCAAAGAAATACATACACTAATACAAAAGGAGTTTATTGTTACAGGTGTGGAGGAAGTAACCATACAGCTTTCAAATGCCGTTTGCCGAAAAACATTAAATGTACATTTTGCGGTGTCAATGGACATTTGGAAAAAGTTTGTTTTAAAAGGTCTTCTGAAACGAAAGATGTACAGGCTCACCTGGTAGATACTGAGGAAGAAATCAATCAAATGGAGCATATACAACACCGAGATAAGTACCTTATCACTCTTAAAATTAATAAAAAAAATTTTGAAGTTTGAAGTTGACACAGGTAGTGCTGTAACTATTATGTCAAAAAGTCAATTTTCTGAACTTTTTCCATATACGCCCATACAAAACTCACATACAAAATTAACTACTTTTTGCAACAATACAGTAGATATTATTGGTTACGCTACAATTACAGTAAATTACAAATAACTACGATTATGATTTAAATATATACATTACATCACTTACAAATAAAACACCTTTACTTGGAAGAGAATGGATACGTCAGTTACACTTACAGTTGGAGAAAAAATACTTTGGTCGTCACTTTTCTGACAGTTTAATGTAATTCAAGCTTTAACGTTAAAATGAATATCAATTTCAAATTAATGACATCTATTATATTTTTCTATCAAAAATATGTACAACTTGTCAACTATGATTGACAGTAGCTAAAAATAAGGTTAACAGTCCTAAAGCATGCTTTACAATTTAATGTCACTCAAGTGACATTGACGACCAAAGTATTTTGTCTCCAACTGTACTAAATCCAAATACAGAATTACATTCAATAAGCACAATTAAAGAAAGAGATTTACAAGTAGAAGCATTATTAAAAAAATATAAAGAAATTACAGAACCCAATTTAAAGAAAATAGAAGGTGTTCAAGGAAAACTTACATTAAAAGAAAATGCAAAACCGATTTACATTAAAGCTAGACCTATTCCATTTAAACTTAAACCTTTAGTAGAAGAAGAATTATATAAATTAGAAAAAGAAGGAATTCTAGAAAAAGTTTCTACATCAGATTGGGCTACACCCATTGTACCAGTTTTAAAAAGTAATAATACAGTTCGAATTTGCGGAGATTTTAAAGTTACAGTAAATCCACAACTACAAGTTAATGATCATCCATTACCAACAACTGACGAGTTGTTTACAATAATGGCTGGTGGTCAACATTTTTCAAAGATAGATTTAAAACAAGCTTATTTACAGTTAGAAATTCGTCCAGAAGATAGACCGCTTTTAACAATTAATACACATAAAGGTCTTTATCAATGTACAAGATTACTATTCGGTATAGCAAGTGCACAGTGGCGTAACTAGGAATTTTGGGCCCCCCCGCCAAAGACGTCTGTTGGGCCCCAAGAAACTAAAAAATACAATCCTTGTAGATTTATATAGATATCTATATATTTTATTTTAAAAACGAACAATACTTCTCAAAGAAACAATATACAAGGTGATTCTTTTAGGACCTATATTAATAACTTTTTAACTTCTAATGCAGATAGAAAATTGAAATTTTGTACACAACCCAAATCAACCATTCTGAGTTCAACTAAATTATTTTCAAAATGGCTGAACTTCCGGAACTACGAGAAATTGGCGCCAACTTTGAAATTTTAAATGGTACCCACTTATTTTTATTGCATTTTTGGATTCTCCTCTTCAAACTGAGTAAAATGAACCTAGTTATTAGTACTTATCTGTCATAGTTTTTGACATATGTCAATTTTTTGCTCAAAATTTTCATTTGCAGAGGTTTATTAAAAACATCACAGCTCTTGAACCGTTTGCAATAAGTAAATAATTTTTCTTGCATTTGATAACCAAAGGTTCGAAGAGTTTCCTAAAATTTTCAAAATTGTCAACTGTCAAATTGCAAAGCTTATATGATTTTTTGAAAATGATATTTAACAAACAGCTATAACTCAGTTTTTTCAAATAAAATGACCCCATTTTCTCAACGGCAATCGAAGGTACATCGAATTGTAGAAGGACTTTTATCAACATATCCTATACCCACCTCTTATAGTTTCTGAAATAATCACGAAAAACGTGTTTTTGTTTTTTATTTTTATAGTAAATCACGTAAGCTTTGGAAAATGATCAAGACGAACTAAAGATTTATTAGTCTACACAACACCCATCCTGAATTATGAAGAATTGAGGCAAGGATTGAGGCGGCATTTAATAATCTTCAACTAAATAAACTAATGGAAGCTACTCAAATCAGTTCAGCATCGAGTTTTGGACTGTTTGAAAATGGTAAACATGTCGAACATTTGTATTAATTATGGTATATCTTATTGTATTTTTCCAAAGCCTACGTGATTAACTATAAAAATAAAAACATTAACATGTTTTTTGTGATTATTTCAAAAACTGTAAGAGATAGATATAGGACATGTTGATAAAAGTCCTTCTACAAATTGATGTACTTTTGATTGCCGTTGAGAAAATAGAGTCATTTCATTTGAAAAAACTGAGTTAAAGCTGTTTGTTAATGATCATTTTCAAAAAATCATACTAGCCTTGCAATTTGACCGTCGACAATTTTGAAAATTCTAGAAAATTTTTCGAACCTTTGGTTTTCAAATGCAGCAAAAAATATTCACTTATCGCAAAGGGTTCAAGAGCTGTGATGTTTTGAATAAACCCCTGAAAGTGAAAATTTTGACCAAAAAATTGACATATGTCAAAAACTATGATAGATAAGTACTAACAACTAGGTACATTTTACTTAGTTTAAAGAGGAGAATTCAAAAATGCAATAAAAATAAGTGGGTACCATTTAAAATTTCAAAGTTGGCCCCAATTTCTCGTAGTTCCGGAAGTTCAGCCATTTTGAAAATAATTTAGTTGAACTCAGACTGATTGATTTGGGTTGTGTACAAAATTTCAAATTCCTATCTGCATTAGAAGTTAAAAAGTTTCTAATGTAGGCCCTAAAAGAATCACCTTGTATAGTAAAACAATTTAACAAAACAAATAACAATAAAAACTTTTTAAAAGCAATAATAGCAGAATAACAAAATTTCAGCTCACGTTTACTTAGGTAATTTGTTTTTTCCTTCCCTTTAAATTTGCAAAATTTTGGATAACATTGTCCATGACAAAATGGACAAATTTGTAAGCCTTTCCTGGTTCATCTAGAGTTCCGTAAGTAATTTTTTATTAATTTTAATCGTTTCCTTGCCCCCTACATTTTTTAATTTCAATATTAAGACTTTCTAAAAAATGTAGAATGATATTTACAAAACCGTCAGCGGTTTGCAAATCTGCTTTTACAAAGCCTAAAAACGATTTTTTAATATGTAAATTATTGTTATTGCTACCGCTATATACATATCGGATGATTATACTTATTTGATCTGTCTTGTCTGTCCTGTGTAGTGTCAACAATTAATAAATAAAAGGAAGCATTATTAATTTCATCAACAATATGATTCAATACATCAGATTACCCAAACAAGTAATGATTTCGTTTTGTATATTTGGACTTAAATACTTTATTGACCCTTTCGTTAACGTAAGAACCTCCTTCAGTACTCAATCATATTGTGACATTACTTGAACAATTGATAAAAAATTGCCGTTGTAATCCCCCGCTTATATCTTCTCGGTGACCCCTAAAAGCGAGCGAACATTTGGCTAATGTTAAAGTGATGCTGAACAATCTTTCTAAAACTATCTTCCAAAAAGAGGACTCTTCATCAATTTGTTTCTTCGTCAATACATCAATATTTTCTGTCTTCTTACATTGACTGTAAATGGATACAAAACTAATATAGTAGTCGCTGGTAGAATGTGTACTATTTTTTTTTTTATTATAATCCTTGCCAATCGCTAATTCCTTCCTTGCT